CCCACAGCCCTTCTGTAAAGGGATGTCCAGTTTCCTACAGATGAGCTTTGGGTCTCCACTCTGCACTCCCCCTCATGCACAATTATGTGATTTTTTTGTTCTTGGATGCCTGATAACCAATCCCATCGACACTTCATGGTCACACAGGCTGGTGTGCTTCTTCCATGTGGGTTTTGTTGCTTTTGAGATAGATGGCCTCTAAGCCTTTAAGACCCTGATGCCATATCTTTTGATAGCCAGGCACCATCAGCTTTCTTCACATTTGCTATGCACCTGCTTTGTCTTCAGCAATCGTGTTGGGAAGGTGAGCATCATGGAATGCCAGTTTAATAGAACAAAGTGTTCGTGCATTGAGGGAGTACTTGAGTAGAGGCCCAATGTCTATCTGTTACCTTAATCCTAAACCTATACATATATGCACATAGATTTATTTCCCCATCATCATATATAAACATATTTACATATGTACATGCCTGTATTTAGACCTCTATAAATGCCCTTTGTCTCCTAGTTCTTTCCTCTATTTCCTTGTACTTTCCTCTTGTCCCACAATCATGCTCAGCCTTCATTTGGGTTTCAGTAATTCCTCTCGGTTACATTGTCCTTGATCAAGCCCTACCAGGCCTCCCACACCCTCCTTGCTATCGATTTTGGATCACTTGTTGTTTCCTTGTCCCTGGGTTTGTTAACACCCACTTCATAAAGCTCTTTCTTATACACATTTGTGTGTCTGTGAATTTGTTTCCATAGTCAACCCAGACTAATACACTTATGGTTCCAAAATGGTTGCTGTAGCTCCAGTCATCACATCTTTGTTCCGGGTCAGAAGAAGGGGAAGCAGCCGTACTGGAGGCATCTGTCTCTGATCAGCAAGCCAAAGCTTCCCTGGAAGCATCCCAGCAGTTTGCCTACATGATTCTGTGATTGGAATTATGTAATGTGGCTTTTCCTATGTGCAAAGGAAAAGAAGCTTCGGCTTGTCATCTTTAAAGAGGAAGATGCCTGAGAGGTGGCACCTGTACCATTTGTTCTGTCTGCATTACTCATGATTTCCAGATGGAACTCTGATGGCGCAGTGGTTGCATGTTGGTCAGCAGTTCAAACCCTTGAGGAAAGATGAGACTTTCTGCTCCCGTGAAGAGTCGCAGTCTTGGAAACCACAGGGGCAGTTCTACTCGGTCTTGTAGGGTCGATGGCAGTGAGTGGTGATTTCCAGCCTCGTGGGTTTAACATTTTTTTTTTAACATGGGATCAACTTGTTTTTTAAAGTTTGTGTGTTTTTAAATGGCTTTATTGTAAATAGGGTGAAGATTTACAGAAGAGATCAGTTTTCCATTTAATCACTAAGACACACTTTTTCATCCAACTGTGAGCAGCCCTATAGAACAGAGTCGAACTACCCCATAGGGTTTCCTGAGGCTGTCAATCTTTATTTTTTAAAATCATTTTATTGGGGGCTTGTACAACTCTTATTATAATCCATACATCCATCCATTGTGTCAAGCACATTTGTACATTTGTTGCCATCATTATTTTCAAAACATTTACTTTCTACTTGACCCCTTGGTATCAGATCCTCATTTTCCCCCCACCCTCCCTTCCTCACAAACTTTGATAATCTATAAATTATTATTATTATTTTCTCATGTCTTACACTGTCTGATGTCTCCCT